CTAATAGTGACAGGTGAAAGTCCTGCATGCCTAAGATAAACTATAAAAGGTAGGACCAGGTCAACCCTAATCGGCCAACTTTGATCCTCCCCAATTTCCAATAAAAATTGATTAAACAAATTTAAAGCTGTTTGATAGGACTTGTGTGTAGATGGGGCAATGGAATTCAAGATTGCCATGTGAATTTCTAATCTCCAAGGCTCCATGGCCAGGCCAGAACCTCCAATGGGTGTGTTGACGCCTTGAGAGCCAGCTGCCGGAACCTGGAGAGCTGAAAACAAGAAAGGGTGTCCGCCAAAGGGTTAAGCACACCAGAAACATGTTGAGCTTTGAATAACACATTGTAATTCAAACATTGCATGACCATCGCCCTCACCAAACCCATAACTCTAGAGGACTTGGAAGACTGAGAATTTACCACATGAACGACCATCTGGTTGTCACACCAAAACCAGATGATCCTGTTAGCAACTTTTCCACTACTGTTAGCAACTTTTTCACTACTGGGGAAAAGTTCCAAAAATGTCAGGTCTCTAGTCAGACCGTGTTCAACCCATGCAGAAGGCCATGCCTCTGCAGCCCACTGACCATTCCAGTAAACACCAAAACCATGGGCGCCAGCAGCATTTGAGTGGACCTGAAAGTCTGCTCTCAGCAGCATTTCGGACCTTCAAAAAGAGGTGCCATTGAATTGTTCCAAGAAGGAGTCCCAAACCTTCAAATGCTCATGAATGCCCCTTGTGATTCTAATGTGATGGTGCTGTGCCACTATTCCAGTGGTGGCCCTATACAATCTCGCACAGAATGCTCATCCCAGAACTATAACCCTGCAGATGAAATTCAGAAGTCCTGTAAGTGACTGAAATTTATGGAGTGTAGCTTTATGCCTGCCCAGTATGGCACTTACCTGCTGCCTCATAGCCACCAATTTATTGCCCGGTAATCGAGAAATTCTAGCTATGGTGTCAATCTCGATACCCAAAAAAGTAAGCCATGTATCTGGCCCCTCAGTCTTTTCTTCTGTTAAGGGAACACCCAACTCACACATTAATTCCTGAAATTGGGCTAAAGAGTCCCTACATTGAGAAGAATTGTGATTCCCCATGATAAAAAAATAATCTAAATAATGTGTTATGACTCTATTGCCTGTCCGCTTAACTTCACACCAATGGAGAAAGGTGCTGAATGTCTCGAAGGCTGAACAAAATATCGAGCATCCCATTGGCATGGCTTTATCAAAGAAATACTTCCCTTTGAATTGAAAACCCAGTAAATTGAAATCATCTGGGTAAACAGGAAGGAGCCTAAAGGCGGACTTAATGTTGCACTTAGCCAAAAGGGCTCCCTTGCCTAAATTCCTAATCATCTTAACTGCTGAATCGAACGATGCATACTTAACAGAGGTAGGCCCAGGATCTATAGCATCATTCACAGAATAATAATAATAATAATAATAATA